TTTTTATTATCATTTCTTTGATTTTTTTGACGAGAAGAATAAAAGTTTGTCATTTTAACGAAATCGAGGGAAAATGAGATTAACGTTGTCATATTTTTTTTATACCAAAATCAAATTTCTTGACTCTTTTTCAAATAATTAATATTTATATTTTTATATAAATATTTCAATAATAATAAATATATTATTATATTTCTAAATATATTAATAATAAATATAATTAAATATATCATGATTATAAAAAAAATTGAATTCAGCTGGCATTGCGATTTCGAGTCGGAGCAAGTTTCCTGTTGTACCTGTTTCAAGAACGTGTCAGGGATAAATCTATTTTTCTTTCGCAAAAATGTGTCACGTGACCCGTATCCGCTCGCGTCCTTCGTGATATTATCGTAATAAGAATAGAATTACCATTCGCCTTATTACAAAGTTGCGAGGCAAATATGCCGATTGCCTTCAGGGACACCGTTTACCCTCTATCCTGTTAGCGGGGAAGGAATGCCGAGCGAGAGAAAGAGAGAAAGAGACGCGCTCTCGTTGGCGAAGGATTTCTCACGACATCGCTTCGCCGCCTTCTCGAAGATCCCGATCATTCTCCGATCCATTAAAACGAGTCGGCGGCGAGCGCGACAAAAGGAGACTAGCCGTCATCCGTTGCGCGAAATACCATGCAATTTCGTGGTGAATCACGTTTCGCCGATCCTTTTTTTTCCCTCTCTGCTCTCGCGTCCTTAGGCGAACATTACCGCTCGGCGGACGTCAAGAAGGCTTCTGTTTTCTCGCATAATCTTCATATTAAGGTGTGGAAGCGCGAAAGCGAGGAGAAAGAGAATTTTTGATATTTTTTTATCGATCTGTACGCGGAGAGAATTTTCTCTTAGAATTTACCCTGAAAATCATGATGATAATGGGACATATGGTATTGGACGAATTTTATAAGAGCTTCTATGATTAATATTTCTCACAAAAACATTAATATCTGCTACAATGAAATATAAAATATGTCCGACTAATTTTATTATGTACATATTAATATTTTTTATTGCGGTAAATATTAATTAGAGAAACTTTTATAAAATTCTTCCAATAGCACATTGTCCTACTATCATCATGATTTTCAGGATAAATTCTAAAAGAAAATTCTCTCTGTGTACTATTTCTCGAACGCAGCAATATTAAACACGACGATCTTGCCTCATAATTCGATAAAATCACGATGATAATAGGACATATGGTATTGAACGAATTTTATAAGAGCTTCTCTGATTAATATTTCTCACAAAAACATTAATATCTACTACAATAAAATATAAAATATGTCCGACTAATTTTATTATGTACATATTAATATTTTTTATTGCGGTAAATATTAATTAGAGAAACTTTTATAAAATTCTTCCAATAGCACATTGTCCCACTATCATCATGATTTTCAGAGTAAATTCTAAAAGAAAATTCTCTCTGTGTACTATTTTTCGAACGCAGGAATATTAAACACGACGATCTTGCCTCATAATTCGATAAAATCATGATGATAATAGGACATATGGTATTGAACGAATTTTATAAGAGCTTCTCTGATTAATATTTCTCACAAAAACATTAATATCTACTACAATAAAATATAAAATATGTCCGACTAATTTTATTATGTACATATTAATATTTTTTATTGCGGTAAATATTAATTAGAGAAACTTTTATAAAATTCTTCCAATAGCACATTGTCCCACTATCATCATGATTTTCAGAGTAAATTCTAAAAGAAAATTCTCTCTGTGTACTATTTCTCGAACGCAGGAATATTAAACACGACGATCTTGCCTCATAATTCGATAAAATCATGATGATAATAGGACATATGGTATTGAACGAATTTTATAAGAGCTTCTATGATTAATATTTCTCACAAAAACATTAATATCTACTACAATGAAATATAAAATATGTCCGACTAATTTTACTATGTACATATTAATATTTTTTATTGCGGTAAATATTAATTAGAGAAACTTTTATAAAATTCTTCCAATAGCACATTGTCCTACTATCATCATGATTTTTAGGATAAATTCTAAAAGAAAATTCTCTCTGTGTACTATTTCTCGAACGCAGCAATATTAAACACGACGATCTTGCCTCATAATTCGATAAAATCACGATGATAATAGGACATATGGTATTGAACGAATTTTATAAGAGCTTCTCTGATTAATATTTCTCACAAAAACATTAATATCTACTACAATGAAATATAAAATATGTCCGACTAATTTTACTATGTACATATTAATATTTTTTATTGCGGTAAATATTAATTAGAGAAACTTTTATAAAATTCTTCCAATAGCACATTGTCCTACTATCATCATGATTTTCAGAGTAAATTCTAAAAGAAAATTCTCTCTGTGTACTATTTCTCGAACGCAGGAATATTAAACACGACGATCTTGCCTCATAATTCGATATATAATTGCGATGAGAAATCTAAGAGTCTTCCAAAACAGCTCGTTATAAAGCATCGCAAAACTTCTATGATGATTCAGTTCAAATTGTATTATACATGTATATATATATATATATATATCGTTAATTGGCTAATTGGTACGAGCACGAGCTCGGCGAGATAAATCGTTGCGAGATAAATATACATGAAAAATTAATCAAACGTTGTTAGGATTTTTATCTTTATACTATACGTATATCTTTCCGTGTAAGACGCTCGATATATGTGAATACTTCGATATATAAGTTTATTATTATAATCATCATATGTCAATTTTAAATATTTTTCATATCGGAAATCAGACGCGATGACTGTATACGTTTATTGATTTAAATGCATCTTGAAAACAGGACCATTATAAAGTCCTGCCGATCAAATGATATTGAAATTTTACGTTCGAGTTCATTCTTACTAATTATTATCGAATGGCAACAAAAATAACTTAATGATCAGCTTAACGCTGGACATCATGCAAGAAACTGTCTGCAATACATCATTATAAATATGCGTATGAATATAAATTAAACGAGACACGATAACGTTGATGGCACACAGAAAGAAATTTCTCTTAGAATTTACCCTGAAAATCATCGTAGGACAATAGGAAGAACTTTATAAAATTTTTTCTAATTAATATACACCATAATAAAAAATATTAATTATCTACCACACACACAATAAGATATCAAATATATTCAATTAATTTTACTATGTACACAGTAAAATTTATTATGCACCTATTAATATTTTTTATGTTTTTTATATTAATATTTTTATATGTGATAAATCTTAATCAAACTCATAAAATTCTTTCAATACCGTATTGTCTCATAATTACCATGATTTTCAGGATAAATTCTAAGAGAAAATTCTCTCTGTGCGCAGCGTTCGAAATTTGAAGATAAGAGCGTCGCTAATTTTTATCAATCAAACAAACTTTCTTCACAACATTGCGTTATTTTATTTGTATATTATTTTAATTGCTATACGTATACCCAAAATATGGCAATTTGCGATGGAGATTTAACGGGAAAGAAATCGACGAGCAAAAAAAGGATCCCTTTGTAAGTAGAAAAAAGATACAGACTGCTGGAGATACGTCGATTATTTGATCGATAGTAACAATAATGCGAATTTAACTGCACCACCGTAACCAAAGTATCCGAATAGCATATTATCGACGTAACATCGTACAAGTAAGTAATAAGTCGGCGGGAAATAGGCAGAAATAATCGTGGATTATAAAGTGGAGAATGGCGTCACGCACAAGAGAATACATGGGGTTTGTAAAGAAGGAACGGCCAAGAAGAGAGAAAGAGATGAAAGCAGTGAGGAGGAGATGGAGAAGAAGACGAGAAGCGATCGGCAGAGAGGAATAGGATTCGAAGGAGCGAAGAAAGAGAGAAGGGGCAGAGGAAGTGAAGCGAATTAGCGAAGGTATACGACCGAAAAGGAGGCCACGATCGTTCGAGTAAACAAGTGTCTTGTCCGCGACTCGAGAGAGACCAGTTCCACCTTCCTCCCTCTTCTCTCTTGTGTTCTTGCCTTGCGAATCCTGTCGCCGCGCCGTGGCCTTTAACGCGCGTAATCGCTTTCAGAAGTACCCGCGTTATCATTCCGGATGATGCGTGTGAAGCTATAGCATATTATTTCATGAGGATCGCAAATGATTCAGTTCTGGCTTTATTTTCAATAATTCCTGACTTTGGAGTTTCAACAAATCATTCTGGCGACCAAAGAAAATACCTAATAAGGGCAAATTGATAAACCACCTTCGGCATCTTCTTTATCAGTAATTATCAGGATTAAACAAATTCGTACTTTTACATGAGTTTAAAAAGAGTTTTGTCTTCTAAAAGCAAAAAATATTAATTAAAGAAGACAACCGAATACCTATAAAAATATTAAAATATTAATTATTATTTCTAAATTAATTATTATAAAAATATTAATTATTATAAAAATATTAATTATTATAAAAATATTAATTAAAGACAACCGGATAGATATTGAGATGAGATGCTCGAGTCGATTTTCGAGAATTATAATTATTCGAAATCTTTTCTAACGAACCTCCGTCGAGTTTTAATTAATTATTAATATTAAGTCATGTTTAAATATTGCGCGCGCCATTAGAATGAAGTTGCCGCTGCTTGTAGAGTAGCGAACAACTTCGGTCATTACCGAAACGCCGCGAGTACCAGGCAGTTCGAGCTGCGTTCCACTGTGATTAATTAGTAAGCATAATCATTTCTAACCTTTGTATTGTAATATTTATCAATCGCACATCGTAATGTCAACGTTCATATATAATCATAATTATTCATATAACATATTTCGCGAGAAATTCGATGCAAAATTTCTTGCCAACGATCAACATAACCCTACCTAATTTGATCTGTTTTCGCGCGCGCGAATGGTTGCATCTATTATTTCTATTATGTATGTTATAATAAGATTGTTCTAATATATGTATGCATTTTATTTGTTACAGGTTGCATTTCGATACGCAGTGCGATTCACGCGTCGTGTCGGGAGTGCCGTGTAAAGTTTCGCGCGTCGGGAGTGCCGTGTAAAGTGTCGGGCGATCGTAATTATTCGTGTTTTCGCGAGGGAGTGCTATATATGTGAAGGATCAAGAGAGGAGGAGGCCCGGGTGGCATCGGGCGACAGCGGGGCAACTATGAGGTAATGCATATAAATACAATTTATAACATATTTAATTTATTAATTTACTACTGACAAAATTACTTTATCTCCGCGGAATTACATTACACTATTTTTTATGCATATAAAATATTTTAAAATCATGTCTTAAAAATAGTTATAATTAAAATTTATATACATATATATACATTTTTTACAAAAATATAATTGTATAGCTTATTTATACAGACTTATTTATTAATAAATATTTAACAAATAATATGAAATAATAATATTAATAAATAAATAACTAATACATAATATTAATAAAATAATATATGTATGCATACACATGTAAATACATAATTTGAATAATTTTTTTTTTCCAGATCAATGTGCTGCGTACTACAACTCTACCATATATACTATTGCACGTATCGGTGAGTGAGAGAAATTGTTCATAACATTTACTATAGCAGTAATGGGGGTACGTGAAGCGTTTCATTTCGTGCAGGGAAAGTCATAAATAATTAAGAGTTCTGGTTTTTATTTTCAATAGTTCTAATTCATTTCTTGATAGTTTAAACAAACAACTATTTAAACTCAACTATTTATAATCCTTCACGAAATGATATGCTAGCGTCATACATATCTTCGAATGCTGTCAGTTGTGAAGTTGAAATTCTCAAGGCGTGAAACGGATGTGTCAAGAGTGGCAGCAAGCTACTTATTGTCAAAAGAGAACAACTCTCGCAACTCCGGATACGAAATATAACGAAATCTCAACCGATGCTCGCAACCGTGAAAAGATTGGCGGCAACAAAGACTGCCATTGTGTTTGAACGCGGAAAATTGTTTTCTCGTCCGTTTTGTCATATAAATTATATTTTGTTTCTCTTCCTTCTTTTTTTAAAAAACGTATACATATACTCGCTTGCCTATTAAATATTAAATCGAATGGAAAAAAAAAGATTCGCGCCTTTGTTGAAGAAATAAAATTCTTTTTGATTGAGATTCGAATTTTATATAATATTGTATAATGACTCATCACATCGCTTTCCTAGAGTAGTATAACGGCCGCGGATGCAAGAATCGCTCTTGTGATTCATCTAACATCTGTTATGAATTCAAGAGCTTAAATCACAACATCGAGTGGTTATTTATATAACATTGCATCATATAAAGCAATAGTAAAAAAAATATCAATTACCTTTTGCCTGTAATTTATGTTATTTATAAAGCTATTCACATATGGCATCTCGTTAATATTATATTTATCAATACAAGAAGCGCGCAAACTTGCTCAACGCGCAGATGATGTTTCTCTCTCTTCAAAACTCCGAGATTGTTATATGAGAAAATCTATTTAACGAATATAATCTCGATTCATCTCTTAATCCGTTACACGTTACAGTCTCAAGATTTCGTTCTGCCAAGGTCAAGAGAACCGCAGAATTGAATCATTATACGGTTAATGAAAGTCTTCGTGCACGCAGTATATAGAACCTTCGGCGCGAAAAGCAGACGAAAGAAAAACAAGTTCTAGTCAAGTTGCCGTTTTATGCATCTCTGGATCATTCAACGCGATATCTATCTCTATCTCCCTCTCTTCCAAGATCAAGGCCTCGCGATATTAGCATGATTGCCGCATGAGAAAATAATCTGGATTAGCGTCGAGCATGCGTGTAATGCTGCACACGCGCGGCGAAACGGAAAACGGTGCGCGTGACGTTTGCATACGTGTATTCCGCACGCGTGTATATGGTATATACGTGCATCTATACACACCAGTCCAGAATGCCGATACCAGTCGACCAGATCGAACGGCCGGTCGATCGAGCCCGGTCATGTGAGTCAGTAAGACATTTGCTCCGCATGCCACACCCGGTATTGCATTGTGTGCATTCCGTGTCGCGCTAAAGCGACACGTTCCAGGATTTATGCCGATTTTGTACTTATTAGGGGCGCCTCGCATGAACTACAATGAATAAGAATGATTGATTCATTTTGACAGATCGCGGTTTGATGATATCAAAATTTCAGGATTTATTTCATTCTTCGAATAAGTCTTCGTCGTGTGATTAAATATATGTAAGGATGAATAACTAAAAGGAATTTTTTCTATCATCTCGATTAATTTTAAGATTCTAATCTTTTCTTCAGCAGTAGTATTTAAAACCTGCCGATAAATTCAAAATAAGAATATAACACGGAGAGAATTTACCATGGAAATCATGGTAATCGTGGGACAATGATATTGGAAGAATTTTATAAGAGTTAGCTTGATGAAATTTAAATTTCAGGATTTACTTAATTCTTCAAATAAGTACGTTACGTGATTAAAGATTTGTAAGGATAAATAACTAAAAGAAATTTTTTCTGTCGTCGATTTTATAAGATTCTAATCTTTTTTTCTTCAGTAGAAATAGTATTTGAGACCTGTCGAGAAATTCAAAATAAGAACATAACACGGAGAATTTTCTCTTAGAATTTATTATCCTGAAAAGTATATACGAGTATAGTAATCGTGGTATTAGAAGAATTTTATAAGAGTTTCTCTGATTAAAATATTTATCACAATAAAAAATATTAATATGTATACATAGTAAAATTAATTGAACATATTTTTATATCTTATGATGGCAGATATTAATAATTTTAATCGGAGAAACTCTTATAAAATTCTTGCAATACTATGTTGTCTTACGATTATCATGATTTTTAGAGTAAATTCTATAAGAAAATTCTCTCTGTACCGATATATAGATGATGTAAAATATGTTTCTCTATATAACAAGCTAACGAGATTTTGTTAGATAATTTTAAATGTATTTAAAAGAAGTCGAATGTCACGATGAATATGTCGACATTGAATACTGGATATACTAGATGTCAATTTCATGCCTTGTATATTATTATGCATACGAAATATTCTAAAGAAATATTCTAGGAGAGCCTTGGACTACTTGAGCTAGTAGATATAGTAGATATATAGTTTTATATATCATATCGTACTTCACATAAGGCTAAATAATAAAATACGAGTTTATCGCGAATGACAAGTTATCATTATACGTATTATCATAAATCGCAGGATCTTTTTCTGTTATGACAGGATTCTGTACGTATATAAGAAACAACAACGAGAAAAACAAATCGATTTTAATTCTGCAATTTCTCACTTATTACGAGATTGATAGAAAAAAAACACTGTTTTTTAGAATTATCCTGTTTACTCGAGATTCGCATTTTTTAAAAACTCGTCTTTCTCGCAAAAATCTTAGAAGACGTATCTATCTATCTGATACTCGAATCGGCGCAATCGTTCTCGATTCGTATAAATTCTAACGATATCTCTGTTCGATCGCGCGACTCTGCTTCTAATCGCGCGTGTGTGTGCAGTTTCACGCACATGCATACACATACAAAGACACACAGACACACGAACACACAGATGGAGAACGGTCAAGGCCACTGTATCGCCGACACTCGCTGGAGAACCGCGAGAAAGCAGTTCTTCGACATTTTCCGATCGATTTACAGACTCCGATCTTTTATCGTGTTTACTGTCGAAGGACTGATGAATAAAGGGACGGACTACACGTGGCAGATTTGTTAAACTATTCGCCGATGAATAGAGCTATATTCCCATCTATGGTTGACGTTAATCGCGATTAATGTCAGCAAAATGAAAAATACCACATTCACAACACCTTTATCCCATTTCTTCGAATTATAATTGAATATATGCGATTAAGCGACATTTGCTGCGATTTCTCGCGAGTGAGAAGTATCTTTTTCATCTCTTTCTCTCGCGCGCGCAATCTTGCAAAATCGTCGCGATGAGAGTCGGGTCACGCCAAATTACGGTAAATCCGGCGCATTCAGCGCCGACGTGACTCCGTCATTGCTATTGTCGTTTTAATTACTATCGTCGGATGGCTTTCGGGCTAACAAAGCCAAGTCATCATCGTGCGCATCGTGCGATGAAAGGCGGAATTAAAGCCTTAGTCGTCGGGAGGCCGCTTCCTCCGCGCGTGAACCACGTGAGAAAATGCGTGCGGATGAAATAGCAAAGAGAGAGAGAGAGAGAGAGATCGACGCTGTCGTGACTAAGCCGATTCTATCCTGGCTCGCCGAGTTACGCCAGCAGAGCAACTGCCGATGGCAGAACTAGAATTACGTTCTAAGCAGCGATGAACTTGGCCCAAGAAACGGGAATGAAATTACTGCTATTGCGCTATCCCGCGTTTTTTGCCGCACGACGCACTGTGTGCTCTCGCCGGCTCTTTTATAACGTTTTGTATATACCTTACAATAGACCATTAACAATCGAAAACTTTATATTTAACAATGACGTGATATTTATATTTATCTTTGCATAATTTAGAATTTATTTTTCACGCAGTTTATATTTTGTCACACGTTTCGTAGAATAGATTGCTTTATTATTATATAATCATAAGAATGAATAATCATTTTCATATCAATCAGACAATTATCGATTACATTACACATTACGTTTTGTAAGAATAAAATACAAAAATTAATATTATTATTTATAATTTATTAATGTATGTAGTATTTTACATATACACAAAAAAAATTAGTCGCACGATAACTTAGCTGTCCCTATATTACAATCTGAAATTTAGTTATCATGCCTAAATTTTAACTATGATAACTAATATTTTTAGCTATTTCACGGAGAATTCTATAACTACAAATATTAGCTATCATAGTTAAAATTTAGACATGATAATTAAATTTCATGTGTAATATACACGGAGAGAATTTTCTCTTAGAATTTACCCTGAAAATCATAGTAATCAAGGGACAATATGATAGAATTTTATAAGATATTTTCTCTGGTTAATATTTACCTCAACAAAAAATATTAATATGTATATTAATAGTAAAATTATTCAAATATAGTTTATATCTATTGTGATAAATATTAAACATAAAAACTCTTATAAAATTCTAAAAGAAAATTCTCTGTGTATATACTAATAAATATGATTAAATTAATTCATAAATACGATACAATGAATCTCCTAATATAATAAATATATAATTATGTGAAATAAATGTACAAATTTAATCAAACTCTTTTTTCCTTTTTTTTATTAAATTTAATTTTTCTTAATTTGCAATTTTCTTAATTTGAGCTAAAAATTCAATCAAATATTACTTGACAGTTTCTGCAATTTTTTTCCTATTGTGTTGTCTGAAAGAAACATTTTTGACTTGTTATGCCAGGAGCTTGCAACAGCAGCTAGGAAAAAATATTTATGGCGAAGTACAGCTACTTTAAAAAAGGAAACTTTCTCCATATATCGATAAATAAGAGTCGCAGTACCGTTAATTGCGCATTCAATATTTTCCGTAAAAAATTGCATTTTGGTAACACTTAAAAATATATCGATAAATAAGAGTCGCAGTACCGTTAATTGCGCATTCAATATTTTCCGTAAAAAATTGCATTTTGGTAACACTTAAAAAAA